TGTGTGTGTGTGTGTGTGTGTGTGTGTTAGACCATTTAAAATAAAACCTTTTGTGTGTGTGTGAAAATTATATTTTAAATGGTCAGAACAGTTTTATACACAAAACATTCATTTTGAAAAAAAAAAAAATTTCTTATATCTATTAACCCAATCAAAACACTTCAAGTGAGGTGTGGTGTTTTCAATAAAACCGTCATGTTTCCATTTCACATTAAAAAAATTGAAGTTTTAGAATTTTGTCATATTGTATTTCTTCTTTTGTGACTTAAATCTCGAGCCAGGTGCTGTGGACCGCCTGCGACGCTGTTTCTGTCACCACACGTCTTCAGCTGCAAAAGTCAAAATGTCTTCACTGCACAGTTTTCAGCTTCCTCTTTGTGCCACAAACAGGAAGACACCTGCAGCTGTGTTTAAACTGGATGGTTGGGGGGGCTGTTTGTGTGGGTGGGGTAGGCAGGGATTGGCCAGTCTTAAAGTGTGCAGGTGGGCAGCCTCAGCTCAGCTGTTCAACCCCCACCCTGAGCCCAGCCCATTGTTCCATGTGTGGGTCTTTGTAAGAGGCCGGCCACTGTTGTGTCTGGGGCTTCTCTGCTCAAACAAAGGGCCCGTCTACAGTCCCCACCCCTAACACACAGTTGACTCACTGTAGGTGTTCGGTTGGACAGGGCAGAGAGGCTTTTAGTCCATCTCAAATATATATCGGTAACTTCTGAGAACTTTTAATTTGCCCATGCAAACTTTTCACATAAAGTAGAGGAATAAATTATTTTCAGTTGTTTTCCTGTACGGTGGCACAGGTGGTAGCTATTGCTTCTCATTAGCTATGTTGACACGGACATAAGTAATCGGATTAAACGGCCATTCAGAATAAAAATGCATCATGTAAACACCCCATTCAGATTATTTGTTGATTCAACTCAATCTGAATGAATTTCTAATCTGAATAAGACGGGTGGTTTATACCATACCAATTTATTTATAAAGCACTTAAAACGGCAACAAGGCCAACCAAAGTGCTGTACAAAAGAAAACAAACATGCACAGCGGACAGGAAATCATAAAATAGAAATACAGATACAAATAGCAGCAGAAGCTAACTAAAATGGCCAACAGTGTAGAGTACAGACCGGACCAAAACAAATCACACCGTGGTAAAGGCAAGAGAATAGAAGTGGGTCTTCAAGCGAGACTTAAACACTGAGAGTGTGGGAGCCTGCCGGACACTCAGTGGCAACTCATTCCACAGTCGTGGACCTGCAACAGAGAAAGCCCCGTCACCTCTGAGCTTACGACGGGTTTCTGGGACTGAGAGAAGCATCTGGTCTGCTGACTTATGTGGATTCATAATCTGAACGGTGTGCATGTAAACACTTAATCAGATCATTTTATTCTGATTGTGAAAAACTGACCTGACTGCGCGTGTGCGACCAGTCTACCTCATGTATTTCCACCTGGCTGGATGCTAATATGTCGGGGAAGCTAAACTGGTCAGTGAGTGACAACATTTCTACTAGACACTTTGAAAGAGCTCAAAATGATCTGTGTTACCTGTAGCTCAGTCAGGGAGTGCAGTAACGTCTCCACCGTCATTAAAACCTGGTGTGGGTCCATTTTGGGCGCTCAGGTTTGTTTACGTTCATCCTGGAAGTAGAACTTCTGTGTTTTTTTAAGGGGAGTTTACCACTCAGTTCATGTCAGTACTTCTTTTCAGAATAAAAGCTGCATGTAAACGCTCGTCGTGAACAGATTGTGCCCATTTGGATTATTTAATCTGAAAACCCGATCAAAGAATTTTGCACATGTAAACATATCTATTATGTAGGTTGTTGCACGTACTCCGGTTTCCTCCAGACCAGAAACATGTGTGTTATGCTAACTGGTAACAGGGGTGCCCAAAACGTCGATCACGAAGGTATGGGTAGATTGCATTGCATTAAAAAATAGAAGTCTGCCTATCATCTATCTATGAAATTAGTCTGTTAATTGAGATACAGGGCAGCCTGTCTGAGACCCCGTTTACACGACGTGACAAGTTCAGCCGTTCATTTTCATAGCAGCCCTCATTCTCTCTGAAACTGAAGGTTTCTGAATCCAGGTCTCAGAGTGGAGATTTTCAGGGGGGACCCCGTGGAAATGTGAAATGCTCCGCAATTGAAGTGCCACATACATTCTACAGGTGGCTGCAGTCCAAAGTTCTTCTGCTCTAACAACAGTTCTAATAAATGGCAGAGAGCAGAGGTTTTTTTTGCTGCTCACCCTTTTTCAGCATGTACGTAGGAGCAAAACTAATAAAATCCAGTTACAAAGAGGCGTTAGTGTGTTCACCAGTTTGGATGTAACTGTGATCATGTAGAGACTGCATGCACAATGAATGCAGCTGAGCCCTGCACCAGGGTTAAATGATAAATGGACTGTACTTATCTAGCACCTTTCTATCTTATCAAGGCACTCAAAGCTCTTTACACAACAATCTGTGCCTCATTCACCCTTTCATACAGCTCTCTACTAGATCTGTACAGTGAATAATCAGAGCTTTATCACATTCATGCACAGATGGGACAGGGGTTCAGTGTCTTGACCAGGAACACTTCGGCATGTGACTGCTGATGGAATTGAACCCCCAACTCTTGCGTTGGAGGATGACTGTTCTAACCACTCATCCATGGTCACTCATCCAGATAAATGTAAAATGTCTTATTTACCCCTACTTTTCTGTGCACGTTCAACAAACACAACACACACCTCATCTTAGAATATCTTTACTCAGCACATAGGGCAGTGGTGGTGCAAAGGTTAGAGAAGATGGGTCGCAGGTTCAATTTCTGGTACCAAAAAAAAATGTGGTGGAAAAGGTGAAACACCCACACCCTCCTCCACCCTCATTTGCCCCACTCTGGGCACCTGAGCAAGGCCCTCAACCCCCACCATCTGCTCCCAAAAATCGTGTCTATCTTGAAAATGAGTTCTCGTGCGTGACTCAATGGTAAATAAATGGTAAATGAACTGCACTTATATAGCGCCTTTCTATCTGATCAAGATACTCAAAGCTCTTTACACTACAATCTGTGCCCTCATTTACCCATTCAAACAGCACTCTACTAGATCTCTACAAAACTAATTGAACAAATCATTCTAAAGAGACTAATCAGAGCTTTATCACATTCATACACTGATGGGACACACATCAGAGGATATGAGGGGTTCAGTGTGTTGCCCAGGGACACTTTGATATGTGACCGCTGGAGGATTTGAACCCCCAACTCTTGCATTGGAAGACGACTGCTCTAACCACTCAGCCACAGCCGCCCCCAATGA